ATAAGAATTTCAGCTGTTCTTAAGCTAGAAGTCTAGACTTCATGTTTCCTGAATGAAAACCTGGAAAGATGCGAAAGAATGGTAAGATAAAGATTCATACTCAGGCAGGCAGATAAAATAAGTGTCATGGTTTTTAACACTTGAGTTTACCAGCTGCAGAACCCAGCCTTAAGGCTCATCTGAATTTTGGCTCAGAGTCCTGTCAACATGGACATCAAAATTATCTAGCAGGCCCTAGTCTCACCTGTGACACTTGGGCAGCCCTGTGGTTTTAAAAGGGGGTTGGGGGGAACATAGCCATCACTGAAATGCATCTACGGCTTTGTAACAAACCATGTTCATTTGCAAAAATCCATAAAGTCAACCATTGAAGACCTGGAAGCAGAACTGCAGCAACTGCTCCTTCCTGATCTACAGCATCCAAAAAGATGTCAGAAATACCACAATATAGTGAGAGGTAGGTAAATAACCCCGAGAGTCCTCCTTTCACTTCCCAAACCGAGTGATCCTGATGCCTTTTGTCCTAAATGACTGAATTCATAGGGAGAAGTGAAAGAAATTCCTTTAAAAGCACACCATAGCTGTGAAGATCTGTTTTACGAAACAGAGAGGTAAATAAGCTCTACACTGTAAAAGCAACACCAAACGTTCCAGGCTTTTCTGTATTTTTTTTTTATCCCTGTATTGCTCACTGACACTTTTTCCAGAGGTTTCATGGGTATCATGATCTCACGTAACAGCAGAAACGCACAATTCTTTATCTTCCTCACTTCCAAAGAATCCTTAAGGCAGGAGCCTAGAGAAACGGTCCCCAAAAACAATATTTAAAATAGGTGGTGGCTTTTAGCTGTTCAACAACTTACAGATTTATTTATGGAAGTCCATGCTAAGTTACTGAACTTGAAAATATGTCCCAAAAGCAAGCATCTGGTTTCCATCTGTCCTCATGGGAACTAGGAAAGGATTTTAACTGAAAATAAAGTATTTGGGTGCAAAAGAGCAAGATCTCAGGGAGGGAGGGATGCATACATGGAAAAATTCCCTATGAAATGCACTTAATGTTTAAAAAAACAACAGACTATCAGGAACTTAAATTTGCATGTTACAAAAAGAAAAAATAAAAAGCTCCCCCCGGAACTTTAAGCCATATCTAATATGAAAAACATCGCAAACACACCAAATTATATTCTTATTTCACAATTTAAAAATTATGAACTTCATAATAAACAGCGAGACTTGTTTACAGAACTAATTAATTTTAAAGATATAAACCTGAAAATACTTGACTACACATGCAAATGTTAGGCACCTACAACTGTACATGGCTGGCAAGCACAATTTTATCCATTTCTATCTAAGCAAAGCGGACTTGTAATTGTGACAGCTGTAATTCCAGCTCCTTCCAGGAACAATTCCATATTTAAAACCCAGCATGCGATATTGCCTTACACAGGAAAAAAGGGACCTTTTATTCTCCCTTCAAATATTTTGCCAACATTCATTTACGAGTTACAAAACATCTAAACTGGCTTTCCACAAGAGGTATGTGCACACCCATCTGCATAAATAAACTGCTGTAAACTTGTAAGTAAAATGTTTGAAAGCAGTGCTTTAAATATCCCTTCCAACCTCTCAGACAAGCTACTTCTTGCCCTTGATTTTATTTCTCTTGAATTTATTTTTTCCACTTTGCAAATAAAGAATAGGAGAAGTCAACTGAAAACCCAACCAGCAGTACAAAAGCATATCAAGTTAAAATATTCATAATAAGGAAGCTGATCATAAAGAATTTCCTCTCTTGCCTTTGCCACGTAGACTGAGGAGGTTTCCTCCACAGCTTTTTAAAGGCAGCCTGTTGCCATGCCTCAGCCACTGTGCAAATTGCGATGCTGGAGCCCATCAGCCTTAGATGGGACCCACTCAGGTTCACTGGTCTACTAATGCCGAGGTCCCAAAAAAAAAAAAAAAACAACCCCACAACAACCCAAACCACAACAAACTCAAAGGCCAGAGCAAGACCCTCTCTTTTTCAAATAACTACTGATTATTTTGTTTAGTCCCTCCCTAGTGAACAGCACAGCCAGCCCTGTCTATGACGTGTCATGAGGCTGGTGGTGTACTCAGCCATTTTTCCTCATATTGCCATTATTTTCACATTACACTTAAGTCTGAGCCACTAACTCGATTTCTACATATTCCACATGAATCTGTGTCAAATTATAACCGATTAAGACTAAAGCAGGCATCCATAGATAAGTGCACCGTACTTCCTACAGTTTGTCATGAATAAAGGTCACTCAGTACTACCAACCAAAACCTACCAAACTGAACTTAAAAATATATTCTGGTTCCTAAGACTAATTTGATCAAACTCAGTTCTTTCATAAAACAGCAGATAAACATGGTCACAGTGCAAAAGCCATCAGCTTAAGCTGTAATGCTCTTCCAGTTTTCTTGAACCTCAAAGTAACACCACGAATCAACCGACCGTTGTGATCCTTTAAAGCAGCAGCAAACTAGGGCAGTACCGAAGAATTTATATATGCTTTCAAGATCAACTTCGACATTCTTGAATTGTAGTTCAAACCACTAGTAGTCTGTGTGGAGGTAGATACAAGCTTAGGGAAGTGTAAGAAACCCTGAAGATCATTAAAAGCAGTAAACAATAAAAAAAGGTAGCTCTTGGATTTTCCTATCTATAGCAACAACTAATATTTTGAAGGCCAACATAGTTTCACATTGACAGCATCTCTTTAACCTTGCACATGAACAATAACAGCTCAAAATATTTAATTTTGTTTGGTTTTGTTAGTGGAGTAGAGACAAGATCAGAAGAATATCATTATGGAGATCCCTCAACATTAAAATGCCTTATCTTGGCACCCTGTTTAACTCTCAAGTCATCCTTTCCGTGGCCAGCCAGCATCTGCAGTTAGCGTGAGCCAGTCTGGCTCCAAGAAGGACTTTCTTCCAGGCTAAAAAGAACAAATAAACAACTGAAGCAAATCTCCTGCTAAACAGCAATCAGAGCAAGGAAGTTTTCACAGGCAGAGGAGCTGGGAGAGCACTGTCTATGCCTTTGGTTTCATGAGATCCGGACAGAATTAGAAACAGCTGAGACCACGGGACTGCAGACCGGCAGAGCAGCAAGACAGGACATCTGTCCCACCCCCAGATGCTGGGACCCAGGCTATCCCTTTGATCTCTGCTAGTCTGATCCTGACTTAGCCTTCAGCTGTCAGGTAGCTGACGCTGGTGAGTCAGATGCTCTGCTGGGTAGGTAGGGTGAGAACAGGAGGGGACCAGGCTAACTCATGATTAATCCGATTTTCAAACCATTCATCCCTGCACCCAAACAGGAGCAGCCTCAGACAAGTTATTGCCTGACCGAGACACACCTACTATTCCTTTCCTATATCTGATATTAACCCTGCCCAGCAATTTATGGTGACAGGAGAAAGCAGGCCAAACCCGCAAGCTCCCAGCTGCCTGCTGGAGTGACTCAGTGGGCTCCTGGAAAGTGCATTTCTAAATGACCTGCCTGCCTTGCTGGGAGACAGAAAAGCAAGTCCCACACTAGATACAATGCGTGATTCTTTTGATGAGCTAGTATAATACCTCTCCTCTGTTTCATTAGGAAACTTTCAACACCAACTTTACAAGTTTCACTCGAGAAGATGCCCTAGGCATGAACCACACCACAAGATACTCCCTTCCTCAGAGGCTGAGCAAAGGGAATCCCTTATTAAGGGTAGCTAAGGACCACAGTACAGAAGGACAGCAAGAAAAACAAGAAACAACAAGCAGGGCTGAACTGGAGCCTCTTAGAAAAGAGAGAACTCACACAATCGTTCAATTACACATCACTCAAGGCTGGGTGGGAATAAGCACCACCACCCTGGAGAGCTGGACATTTGTCCTACAACCATATCATCTCTTCTATTCTTTCTATTCTTATACCAGTGAACTCTGAGAGGTGGTCCCTTCGTTAAAGGCATGATAATTTGCAAGAAAAAGTAGTGACTGGTGAAGAGGTACTGTTATGGGCCTCAACCAATGCTCATCGAGGAACTCTGCCCTGCTGAAGGCAGGCACAGACAGCAACAGGGTGCAACTGCTGTTGTTTTCTCTGATAACAAGAAAAGATGGTTCTCGTTATGTGATGGCTTCAGAGGCCAATCCTCCTCCACAATGCTCACTCACATAATCAAATAAAAAAATCGCAGACTTCTAATAAAAGCCAATATTTAGCCCTGGGAGACTTTTCAGAGCTTGAAGGAATTTCTTGCTTTTGCTGCTGCTCTTCCTGCTTCAGTTCCAATAACCTGCACATGAGCATTCTGCTCCCTGCTTTCAGCCCCTCCCAAAACACAGTCCCTGGCTAACAGCCATACGCTGAGATTCAATAGACTGTATGCTTCAGGAATGTGGAGACTGGACCAAGCTGTAACTTCTACAGGAGATGCTGCAATTAGCAAAGAGAGGCTGCTACTTTGTGAGACGGTAGTATCGCTTCAGGAAACCTCTCTCCGTGACTCTAAGCTACAGTATTTGCATCCATATAACTCAAGGGTTAACTGTTTAAATCCGTCATTCTGTTTGCTAATAAAAATGACAATGTAGGAGTTGGCCCGAAAAGGAAGTGCCCCTAGTCAGTCAGGGGAGGGGAGGGAAAAAGAGCCTGCATAAGACCTATTTTTAATTAAAGTGTTAGCAAAACCGAAGCTCAAAAGGAAGAGGAACTAGACTTCATTCAATGTACAGCAGGTGACAGAAGGTTGGAAAAGGTCTTTGTTGACTCATGTAATTAACATCTAGTAAGTTTTCTAAAATGCTATAAATCTAGACACGTTCCAGGCTACAGCAGCCTGTCTTTCAATCGTGGCCACTTAACTCCATGCACTTTGCCAAACCACTTACATGTTTTTATCCTCCAAACAACTGCTATGTCGATGATTAATTCTTTTTCTAAAAAAAAAAAAAAAAAAAAGTATCTTAATTTTGCAGAGTCATGTTCAAATTGCCTGTACACGCCTTGATCTTGTTTTGTGCTTCTAGGTGAGTCATCCCGTCCGTGCTTATCCCATCAATGGTGAGGACCACATCACCTATCCCCACGTGTGCTTGGGCTGCCTTGCCACCGTCATTAAGCTGAAATACCACGAGAATGGTAAATGAGAAACTTGGATGGTTGATGTTCATATTCTCTGAACATATGACCACAATACCTTATTCACAGTGCTGTTTCATAGAAAGAAAAAAAAAAGACACATCATCTCCTATGCGAGTATGTCCCTGTGAAAGTTGCTGCACTATCTTTCTTTGTAGTGAAGCAATATTTATAGGGTCTTGTTCTTATCTCACTTCAGTGGCAGGAAAAGTATTGCACAGTGTTGTCTACTTTTCAAAATCAAGCTCCACTTCTACTTTACTGGCTGGAAGCTGTGCATATTCACCGAGACACAAAAGGAGGGACAGGCACACGCAGCTTCCTGGATGTCAAGTTCCAGCCTCTTCTCTCTTCATATATTACATTTTTCTCACAAGAGGAGAGAGGAAGGCTGTAAAGCAGCTTTTTCCATTCTTGATTTTCCATCTGAACACTCTCTTCAAAGTTTATGTATTTGTCAATGACTGGTCACGTGCGTGGAAGACTTCATTAACAGTAAAGCTGACTTTTCCCCAGCTGTAACTACTAGAAAGTCAAAAGTTCAACATCACTGACAGACTGGTTACAGGACTTCATTTTGCTTTTCTCTAAGTAGGTTTATAGCCCCCAGCGACCCACAGTACATTCACACCATAATAAGAAAGGTCTCTTGAGCAGTCTGCCTCTTTGATCAAGGTCACCACCGAAGTTCAGCTCAGCTGCCTTTGGTCCATTTGAATGAAACAGTCTTGCAACAGAAAGCTTTGTAAAGTTCACATTATTGACCCTGATTGAACAATAAAATCTTTTCATCTGATGCCACTGAACTTCAACTAGCTTCATTCCTAATGGTAAGATGGACACACTGATTTATATCCCTCGTCCTCAGTCTGCGAATCATTTTACAGATGGCTGCAAAGAGCAGTCCTGGATGGTGCAAAATCCCTCTTTGTTTCCAGAGGTATTTCCTGTCTTACAGCAGAGAAGCTACGCTGTGCATACAAAAGCTCACAACTCTTTCCTTTGCCTGCAAGCATGAGTGTGTTCCTTGAAGAAAGTCCTACATTTTAGGGAGGTGCTGCAAACAGCAGAATTACTTCATCTTTATTTCCAAAAGTGGAGTCCACCTTGGGCCACAGTCATGCTCTAGTAAGCGACTTCGCAAAGGAGGCAGAAGGAAGGCTTTCATCTCTGTTGTTTTTTAACTGCCTCTATTTTAGTTTATCCAGCAGGGACCATGAAGTTTTGGTTCTCTGTGGCTCCTTTTCACAAGGACCAACCGCAAAGCATAGTCACCAGTCTCCACACCATTCACTTCTCCAACAAAAGAGAGGCTACGTCTTGAAAACTGTCTATGGCAAAGGGGGAGAAATACTTGAAATACCAGGGACTCAGTCTTTGCATTTGTGTGTGAACAGTCATTTGTCGGCAAACCTGTGGAAAGTGTCCCACCAGCCTACCTGATATGGTTAAGGCCTTCCTAAAATCTCAGAGACACGACAGCTGTGACACATGTATCGGACAACATCTGAAGAAAAATACTTTAACAGATGAAAAAGTATTGCCTAATACTGCAAGACAAATGCAAATGCAATACTCCAAACACGTATAATTTGACAACATATAGACTGAAAGGAGGAAATTGCACATTCAGTGCATCATGGCTGGCATTTTTCAACATCAGTCCATGCTCCACAGACAACTGCAGTAGCAATCTTTAGCAACTAAAAGCAACAGCCAAAAATTCAAGCCAAACCATAAACATCCTTCCATTTGGTGTTAATCCTATGCTATCAAATAGATTATTCTGGTGAAAGGTGAGGCTTGAGATGTAGGAAGACTTGTCATCTCTCTGATTTAAAATAGCGGCCAGTCCCTCAGCATCATAGGTCAGAGAAATTTTACCCAGAGCTCAAACTGAAGGGTGCTAACAAGGGTAAGTTCTTCCTAGGCAAGGATGAAAAGTAGAAGACAAAGGAAAAATGAGATGCGCTAATTTCAGAAAAACTTCTGACTTGCTGAATTCATCAGAATTGCAACTTGTATGGTGCATCCTTTTACAAAAGGCTTCAACATGAAAGCAAAAAATCCTCCAAAAATTTGCTCTTCATACCCGAATTCTGAGCTAAGAGACCCTGTTACTATAAAACACAGATCAGCAAACCCTACAAGCATATAGAAAGATATGACCAACATAGCTATTTATAGGGAAGCTCCTCAAACCTTTGGAGGGGTGGAACCTGCCATAAACAGATCCCTAAACCGATACGTTATGGCATGCTGACATTTGTCAGCAAGGTCTGGAAAAGGGAAAGGAACGTAAGGGCACTAAAAGCTAAAGGTCAGATGGATCGCTGTGCTTTGTGATTGGACTGCTGAAGTGAATAAAATCTAGCTTTCTGCGAATGTATGCAAACGCACATGATGTTCACGCATTGTAATTCGTGATGAAAAAAGCAACCTACACATGTTCAGCAGTTAAGACTCCACAAGCAGGCTTCAGGATGAGTATTTTCGGGGCGGGGGGGGGAACACCATCCAAAGAAGTTTAAAATAAAACTCACTAATTAAAAAATAAATCACTTTTTTGTTTGATTCCAATAGCGAACACACAACAGCCCACAACTAACCACACAACTTCAAGAGGTCACTCTTAAACTGTTGCCTACTGCAGATGAAAGTCTTTGAAAGCACACATGGGACACAGCTGTAAAATCATCTCAGCAAAATCTTAGGCTGAAAATGCCTGAAAAATATGGTTGGAAAGCGCACCCTGGAGACGGGGGATAAAGGACAGGTCCCAAGAAGTGTAACCAGCCCGTGGCTATTTCCATGAGACCTGCTGTGCAGGCAGGGGACTGAATCTGCCTTATAGACGAGGCTGTCACAGACACATCTGAATTATCAAATTACTGGACAAGAGTCTGAAGAGCTGCACACGCAGAGTGATGCCAGAGCAGTAATCTCCTTATCTAGATACAGTGGATAAGACTTCCAAGTAACACCTACTGATTTCGGATAAGCGATCTGACTAACCAAGAGAGGTGAGGTTGGTACTTCTAGGAAATCCCAGCTGGAGCACAAGTGTTTCCTGAGAGTACTGGCCAGCATCCTTAGTTTGTGAAGTGCCTATAATGAAGTGGTACTGAAACTACAGGGCAGTTTTATCACAGATGCAAGAATCACAGCTAAAAGAAAAGTTCTCCATCTTCCTTAGCACAATTGAAACTAACTCGGTTTCATTTTTTTCACCCAGATTCTGAAAAATCCAACAGATATAGAAGATACAAAAAGATGTAGGTGCTAAGATACAGAAAATTTTGAAATGTTATTTATAAATCATTGCTACTTTTGTACACTTATTTTTGTCCTGCATGAGCAATTTTGTTCCTAAACTGCAAGTTTAGCCTTAGCTTAGTAAAATTACCTGGCATCAGTCAAAGACCTACAGTATTACCTATGCTTAAACACCAAAAGGCTAGTAAACTGATGGGCAAAACACACCTAATGCTGAGATCCTGGTAGGAAAAATGCATATTGTTAAAACACACCTTATTAAATGCACATGTGCAAACAAATGGAATTGATGCAACAAGACATATGCATGGAAGAGTATGGCATTAAAATCATAAACCAGGCTACTTGTGACTAACTTCTAAGCACCACAAATCTTGAAATTCTTGATGGATCTGTTTTAATTCTCTGTTTACAGTATGAAGTAAGTTTTTAAAATCAAGCATGAATTACAGCTACAACAAAACAGGGAGTTTTTTGACGTTACAAAGCAGATTTAAAACTATGAAACTGCCAAACCTGAAACATTTCTTCCTACTTCGTGCCATGCCCCTCTACTCTGGGCAGCTCGTTTGGAGATGGAGGGGGAGGGAAGCAGGACAGACACTTCACCACCAGGCACCTGCCGAGGCCAATCACTCCCGCAGCCCCTAGCAGCAATCAGCTTCATGGCCGCAAGCCAAAAGCCAGCCTACACCAACCAGAGATGCTCAGGACGCTTTCTAACAAACAGAAATAAAATCACTCATCTAATGTCAGATTTCAGATTTGTTTGACCAAAAGAAAAAAAAAGTTTTGTTGTTCTTGTTGTTTTAAACCTCAGAATTCCAAAACTGCAAATCTTGTTCTAACACACATTCCAAACTGAGATAAAACAGAGTAAAGCAGCTCTTGATCCATGATCAACTTCAAAAGCAACAGTATAAAAAGTAATCTCAACATATTTTGACACCTCAGGTTTTTAAAAGTAAACAGCCCAAAACACACTGGAATACAACTGTTTTCTTGAGCTAAGTTTTAGCCAGCCTATTATTTCATTTCGCAGTAAACAACATTAAAAAAAAAACCAGCAAGAAAAATAGCTTTTCTACTTTCATTCTCAAGCTTTAATGAAATATTCTAAAATATCCTTTCCAGGAAAATTGCATGTGTGCATATACATGTGCATCTATCTCTGAATCAATGTAATTTGTAGCGTAATTAATTTCTAACTAACATATAACCATATATGCTTCCTCATGTGACTAAGAAGAATACTTCACAAGCATATCTTCCTTGAACCGTCATTATTTAGCTTTTATGCAGTAATAAAGGAAATGTTTAAATTGCAGTTACTCGTAAGAAAAAGGCCTATTTGACTAGAGATGGAAGCCACCTTTCTCTTCTCCTTGCCGCCTGCCTTGAATCAATCTCAGCCACAAGCAGCTCGTGTGATCATGCATCACAACCACCCTCCCAAAGAAACTGTGTCATGGTCTGACAGCGAGTAATGGTCCCCATCACACAAACATCCTTCAATGTTACCTGCAACTCTCTCAGAATGTAATCCATTGCTCCCACTTTGAAAATCCCTGGGCTATCTGAAATCTCTCCAGCTTCATTTTAACTCCTCAAGCATTTCTGATACGTGGTTGACTACAGCAATTCAGTTTATGAGACATGCATGATCAAAGCAGAAGGCAACCAGACAATGATCTTTGTATCATTA